GGCGTAGCAGCTACAAATTTAGACAATGAACTTTATATACTTAAGCGAAAGCTTGTTAGAAATTCTCATCTTTTTAGTTTGATATTGACTTTAGTGAAATTCTATGAAAATGCAACTGAGAGCATTAGAGAAGAAATTTTATGGAAAATTTCGCGTTAATTTTTCACAAGGTTCCATAGCAACAGACAGACAGACAGTCAAGCAGCCCAAAGTAGACATAGACGGGCGGACGGACATGCAGACGAGACGATATTGACGCAGCTATTGAAATTAATAAAGAATGTAAATAAATAAATAGGAGTCTATAATATATTTTAGCTAAATACAAATATAAAATATCAATATTAACAAATAATTGATTTATTATCTGAGAATTTATGCATTGATTTAATATACATTTTACAAATAAATTTAAATAAATATATAACTCGCATACCTAAATTTATTTGTTTATTATAATTTATTCTTATAATGAAAGTTGATGGGATTTTCACCCTTTCAGGTGAGCATAATAATTTTCTCAGTTATCTAACAAAACATATTATATAATAATTTAATTTAATTTATTTACGTAAATATTAGATAATTTAATTGTACACTCATTTAATTAAATTTATGCACGTAAAATATTTACACATATAATTTTATTATTTCACTTACGCTCTCTTGCTCAATATTTAAATTGATATGTTGAAGTTGCTCTCTATGCATGCCATATCAGAATAATATCAATAAGAGTACTTAAAATTCTATTAGCAAATAGTGTGGGCAGCATTTGCCATGTTTACTCTGAATACTTTTCGATATGGCAATATTTTGCTCATATTTTCACCTTTTCAAGTATTCATTGAAATTGTTAAATTTTAGATGCAAGTGCACGGAGAAAATAAAAATAAATAAAAAATGCATTTTGTATAGAAATGAGAAATGAAAAATGCTTGCGATGCCTGTTTAATTCAATAACGTGGCCAGGTCATACTCGTTTGAATATGCTTTCAGGCAGGTCAAGTATTTCAGTTGAACTTGGCATGAGCCAAGCCTTTAGAGGAATGAGATAAACAAAGGCAACAACTTGCTCAGGCAGCCGAGTCGTCAGTCCGTTGCCATGGCGACGCAGCTCAAGCAACTGAGCTCAAAGAAGCTCTGCTGGAATTTATACACAAATTGCACTTGAGTGCACATGATATCTGAATACAGAGCCACGGGGTGCCGGAGGAGTGTCTTTGACGAAGACAACTCATACGAGCTGAGTTGAGGTTGGCGCTGCGTGTCTTTCCCTGGACAACGGCTCTATAGCTAGGCACATAATCATATCGCTCTCTCTCTCTATCTCTCTCTCTCCCTCTCTCTCTCTCTGACTATCGTAATTAATTCCATTGAATCAAAGCATAGCCAAGGCTAATTATAGTTTACTTGAAGCTTTGACATCAACTTCGAAAACTTTGCCTCTCACTCACTCTCACAGCAAACTGCAGTGAAAAGAAATTGCTCTGACCCGCATTCAATGAGCTGACGCTTACGCTGCGCCTGATTAATTTACGGCTATCATAAAAGACGTGGTTTATTTACCAACTTTTTGACACATGAGAGGCTTGACAGTGATTAGAGCTTGGCTTCACAATGGAAACACTCAGTGGGCGATATATTCAGGACTGCTCGAACTGAACCGATTATATTGCCCACTAAAAGATTCCAATGCGCTTGCGACGATTCTCTTCGTATTGCTTGGCAATGCGCGTCAGGTAGAGTCCGTAGCGTAGCAGCTCGCAGCATCGGTGCACCTGTTCGTTGTGGCGCTTCAGCTTTACGACGCGCTTGGCCTGGCAGCGCTCGTGCCTTTTCACATGATCCCGCATATCCTTGACTATGTGACGCCGCAGCGTCAGCAAGGCGCTGTCTCTCTTGGCTTGACAATCAGCTGTTAGCTTGGCCACATGCGCCAATCTCTCAGTGAGTCGATCGACGCGCTCTCTGAGGAACTGATGCCTCCGATTTATGGCCCTTTGGTATTTCTGCTCCCTCGAGTTGGCATCGAATCTGTGGCGGAAGCTCAGCAGACAAACTGGAAAATACTGCGCCTTCGCATCCTTGATGTGCACATAGAAGGACTCGTTGGGCTGTGGCACTACTGGCTCAGCCACGGGCTCGGGCTGTCTGTAAATCTCATAGTGAAATGGAGGGGCGCAGTCCATAAAGTCTTCTATATCGTCATACACCCCATTATAGTTCATTTCCACATTTAATTTCGTTTCAAATTTCCAAATATTTCCAAAATATTTAAAGCAGTAAAATACATGGTAAATATGTTGAAATTTATTTAAAATTAAAGTAAATCATATAAAAATATTTTAAATATAGTCGTCTTATGATGGAACTTATAAATAAAGACTTATAAAATCAAAGTAAATCAAATAAATATATTTTAAATATAGTCGACTTATAATGGAAGTACTTCTGGCGTACCTAAAAGCCCTGAAACGAAATTCCCAAAAGCCACATACATATTATATTTCTATAATATTTCTATTTGAGAATGTCTTTGCTTAAAAATTATTCTTGCTATTCTTCTTAAGTTTTATTTAATTGATACTTATACTACATACATATCTATTGACTTAAGAAACAACGACTCAAACAACTCAAAACTGCATGAGTGCAATTTGTGTGCAATTAAAAAGATAATTAATTAATAATTCAAGCCATTTAATTAAAAACCATCCCAAATGATAGATTGAATAACTGGAAGTGAAAAGAGCCCACACAGGCTTATGAAAGCCTTTATTATGGAACACAAAACTCTTCACAAATTGCAAACATAATTTCTCCTAGCTCAAATGAACACATGTATGCATATAATTAATATATATATGTATATACTAGCACACATAATAGCCAGCCATGTAACTATCTGCTCGGATTTAACATAAAAGTTGTGTGTTATTATTATGATTAAAGTTTCTGTTATTTTTTTTGTTTTTGTTTTTGCCACATGCAGACACCACACCACACTCATCCAACCACACACACACAGCTCACCCACACTTGGCACCATAAAACACATTAGTATTAGACCCATTCCAGGCAGGGGACTCCCCGCAGCTTAACTTCAGGTGCAGCTGCGCTGCTCTGCTCTCCTCTCCTCTGCCCTGCTCAGCTCAGCTCTGCGTGTGTGGCTGCGGTCATGTTATTCTCAAATCCTGCCCATATGTTTGTGGTTTGGGTTTGTGAGTCAAGGTGCAGTTGGAGTTAGCTCTACGACCAAAAAAAAAAAGAGAGGAAAATCTAGACTTTGGTCACTGCGACTGAAGCACCGCTTAAGCATGGCATTTGTAAAATTTTCCCTCCAACACTCGCAAAAAAAAATCCTCGCAACACCATTTATGGCCAGCGTTTTGTAGCTATTCGCAAAATCGGATTAAAATCTAAAGGACCAAAAATAATCAAAGCTTTATGCAACTTTAGTTGAACAAGCTATTACGTGGTTTCAGCTGGCAGCGAGTAAAAAAAAATATGGTTGGCTCTCTTTAATTAGTCACGATTCAATTGAAAAAGCTTCGACTTTTTCCCGTATGGAACCATAAGGTTAATAAAATACTACCGATCAGTCCATTGCCATTCGCATGCCTTTTCATATGCCCATGCACAGTCCTTTACGCTTTAAAATTGAACTAAGAAAACGCTTGCGGGTTTTTCACGTATTCCATTCATTCAGAAATTCGCAATGGAACTTTTTGTTTTCCATTCAATCGCCGGTGGAGCTTCAATTTGTATGGCTAAAAGTTAAGTTAATATTGTTATTTCCAAAGTTGAAAATCGTACAATCCAATCAAAAAGGAAATCAGGACATGAAATAAAAACATTTTCCATGATTTTTATAAAGTCCGCAGCCGGCACTGAAAAGTGCTCGAAAAAACTGATAGTTAAAGCTCAAAGGAAAATCACTTGGCGCGCTTGTAAATACAGAGGCGTAAATAATTTCGGGAAAAAAAAAGAAAGAAAAAAAAATTATATATAGTAGCATACGTATGAGCAATAAAACACGGCCTTAATTTACTCTAGCCGAAAAACTGTTTTAGGTGGCACCATTGCCATTCCTATTACGAGCATTCGGGTTTTAGTTTTACTGCTTTCCGGACGCAGTGCAGTAAAACCGAATCTAGACACGCAACTGGATGCATAGAAACGTGGAAACAATCCGAAATAGAATTTGTGTGGCCGGTGCTCTAAATCTGTGTATACACATGTATTTATGCCCACAAATGTATGTATGTGTGCATGTGTGTGCATTGCAATGCATTGGAAGGATCTGTTGTACGCGATAAAGCGTTTACTGCCTGAGCAGTAAAAAAAGCAAGTCAGGGATTCTTAACTCGAGTTAAACTGAGTTCGCAACTTTAAACAGTCGGAAGATAGCTGAAAAGCACTTGAAAGTTGTTCAAGCAACGTTTTCCATTAATTCAATTTGAAGTAACTTACGTAATTAACTTAAAAGCCCTGTAACGTCGATTATTGTTTGTGGAAAATATCGAATTTGTAGCGATGTATTGGAAATGCAATATATCGATATCTTTCAAAAAGGTTTGTTGCAGAGATTTGGAGACTTTTTCGCTTGCTGTTGATTTTGTAAATTAAAGTGGTTTTATATCTTTCTTAATAACAAACAATTATTAAAAATAAAAATAAATATTTATTGAAGTATGCCTTTCTGGTATATAGCGTCAATATTTTTAATTAATTAATACATTTTAAATTAAAATAGTTAATGCCTCGCATTATTCAGTCTTTACATCGATACTTATTTAAAAGTATCGGCAGATGAACGATATATCGCTTCGTTGCACATCCTTTGTGAAGCTTTGGAGATTTCTTTACTCTGATATCGAAGATAAGAGCCTCGTTTATTTAAAATATTAAACTGCCATTGTGTGAATATATTTTTCTGCTATATAAATAACTATAGTGAGTCCTCGTTTAATAAAGCCTTTTCCATTTATTTACAGATGCATGCGGAATCTTTGTCAAGTGAAAGCAAACGAAACGCTGAGCAATTAACGGATTAAACAAGGACGCGAACGGGAACACAGAGCAGAGGAGCTGGAAAAGATTTCGGGAATCGGCGCCAACAGCATCTACGGCTCATCGGGCGTGTCCTCCCCTCTCCCGCCTACAGACGGCGTCTCTGTGTACGTATTTCTTCGGTCCCTTTGTAAGGTAGTCAGAATGTTAGAGCGGGCTGCGCATGGTGCAAATTGTGGCAGTTGAAGTACTTGTGGTCGGTCGGGCGAAGCAGCAGCAGGAGCACTTGTATTCGTATTCCAATATATATGCATATATATCTATATCTGGGCAACGTGGCATAGAGCGAACGTTTTGGGACAGAGACACACACAAGCTCACCTCAGCTCAGCTCAGCTCAGTCACTGGCGCTGGCACTGGCACTGGCACTGGGAGCGCTTCAGTTGTGTGAGGAGGTATGCAAATAAACGGTCTTGCTGCCGGACCAACCATGGCCGCATCAGAGCCACCAGAGCCGCCGCCACGCAATCCGGATCGCATAAATGCCTCTCTGCACAAGCTGGGCGAATCCGTAAGTACACCAAGTACAACCCAATCCAACTACCCCGCACCCAACCCCCCAAAGTGCCAACCCTGCATGCCCCACAGCCCCGCTACAACAACCATTAAAAATGAAAAAAAAAAAAACCTCCATTCACTTGATGTTTAACCTAATTGGGCCTCATTCATTTGCTTGTTAGCGCCGCTGGGTGGTTTTTGGGCAGGGTTCGACGGGGCGGAGGAGCCGGAAGGTTAACCAAAGGATGGGGGTCAACATACAATTTGCATGCCACTCGCCATTCAGCGCTGTTCCACTTTCACATGCTTATACTTATGCTTACAAAAGTTTCGGCACATTTCCATTACCTTATCTCTGCGAATGTATGTATGTATGTCTATCTCGCTCGCACATGCTCATTGACTAATTGACTTGGATAGCCAGCGATTTTCTCTATCTCTCTGTATCTTTAAATCTCTTTCTCTTTCTCTCTGTTTCGCCATTTCTCATACATCCCTTTGAAAATTTCTAGCATCCTACTTATGCATAGAGCGCGCTCCTAATTGAAGTGCATCCATTAAATGTTTGTCCAACTTTACAGAAAATTGTCAAGTCGCTGGACTCGAGTGTGGGTGCGCTCAAAGAGAAGTCCGTGAACAACAACAAGCCGGTGAAGCCGGTGCTCTCCCTGGACAACAACACCACTAGCACAAGCAGCAGCCAACAGTTTGGGATTGCCTCGTCGACCTCGTCCTCGGCGCCAGCTGGACCCACACTAAAGCAGCCGAGCCTGTTGGCAGGCAAACGGGATCTAACACCCAACGCCTCCTCCGTCTCCGACAGCAGCTCCCCGGCCAGCTCGAATGGGAGCAATCAGACGCTCACGCCACCCATGACCATCGACAACCAGAATCGCTTGGCCGCCAAGGGCGACACATTGGGACAAGCAGGACAGGCACCAGCGCAGGCGATTGGCCAACCACAGTCGCAATTAATGAATGGCAGCAGCGCCAACTCCATCTGCATCAGCAGCACCAGCAGCACCACCATATCCACGGCAGCCATGATCCATGCGAATAACTCAAATATGATTGCCGCAGGTCACTTGGCGCAGGTCAACCCAGCCAGCAGCAGCAACAGCAACAGCAACAACAGCAACAGCAACAACAGCAGCAGCAGCCAGCTCAGCGCCGGTAAGTGCCAACCCGCTGCACCCAAGTGCATTTCTATAACATTTCAGCTGGTCGAGTGGGCTTGTGAGTGGGCGCAATTAGCTCAGCAGCCGCAGTCGCAGCTGCTGGATGGGGCTTCAAGCAATTGCGTATGCACACACACACACACACAAACAGACACAAGTGTGCACGTATATGCATATATATACAAATATGTATATTTGTATATATGTATGTTATTTTTTATCAGTTCTCTCTCTCTCTCTCTCCTTCTTTCTGTTGTGTGTGGCCCAGCATGTGCAGCGCCGTAAGCCTCGGTCACAAATTATCCCCCTTTGTTACACTATCTCTCCTCTCGAATCGCATCTTAAATTTTGCATACATATGCAGTTTATTTGCGTACTCAAATTGATTTTTATTGCAAATTGAACTTAAAGAGCGCCATGAGAATTGAGAATTGTATAACTTGAGAGCGAATATGTGCCTCGCATCTTTATCTCGCTCGGGACAATCTCTCTCTCTCTCTCTCTCTCTCTCTCTCTTTACTCACATTTCGAATGTTTTTTAATGCTCTTTTATCTTGAGATTTAGTTTCTTAAACATTACTTAAAATAGTCAAGCAGAAGTATAATATTGAAATGTATTATTAAGAAATTTTAAATTTTATGAACAAATAAAATAAAAGTCTTAAGCGTCACATATATTGTAAACGGTCTCGGAAGAGAATTTTGAAAAAATTCTGAGAAGAAATAGTGTAGTATGAGACTGAAGTACATTGAGAGTATGGATAGGATAAAGATGAGATGAAGATGAAAGTATTAATTATTAACTAGTGGAATTATTACAATAAATAATAATTAATCTACAATGCAAGTTGAATGCCTTTTACTCTCTTAGTCTTGATCTAGCACTTTGTATATTAAGCCTAGCACCAACTACGAGCAGTACTTGGAGTCATATTAATTACGACAGCGCAGTTTGAATGTCTGTTAGTCCATCAAAGGTCTGTCTTGAGGTTATCCGCCCATTTCCCTAGTAGAATATTTCCTTCCCATCATAATGTTCTAGTAATCTAAACTCATTTCTAACGTAAAATCAATTTTTGTACATTTCGAACAATTTGAAAGAGCAGACAGGATATGAAATGTCTTTTCCATTACACGAAATCCATAGGGCATACGCATTGCAATTGGACTGGGTGGACTTTGCTCTGTGTTTCGTTTGAAAAACCAAAATCAGACTTTACATATTTTTGGAGCTGTCACAAACATTGAACAGCAGAGCCTTAGTTACCTTTACTAAAAGCTCCCTCTCTGGTGTTGTTTTTCGATATGTGTTTGCGTGTGTGTGTGTGTGTGTGTGTGTGGAGCACCTAAAGGCAGATTGGACTGTAGCTAAACTAGTGGCAAGTCCTAAAAATTAAAATTAAAATCACACTGCAATGTGCAATGTGTGTGGCCTGGACTGGGCTGGGCCTGGCCTGTCCTGTCCTGTCCTGGGTGGGCAGGAGGCGTGTAGGGCACAAATGGAAAAGTCCGGGCTGCAAATAACCGCATGGTTAGATGACAAACACAAATCTCTTGCTTACACGTACGATGCAAAATGCGGCCGTAGGGCGAAACGGGGTTTGGGGAGGGCTAAAGTGCAGCTGGGTACGGCGCATCGAATCATTTCCGAATGCCAAAGAGAAAGTCTCGAAAGAGATAGCAACGGGCGGCCATTTAACATGGCTTTCTCTGCGTTCCTCTATTTGGGGCCCATCCTTTTAATGGCGCTGGCAAAAACTAACGAACCGCCGCCTCCAGCCGCCTCTTGATGGATTGGGCCCGGGCTCCTGCACCTGTCGTCATCGCCGTCGTCATCATCAGGATTAGATGCGAGCTGCGGCAGCTGTTGCCCAAGAGCAATGCAATTGCTGTCTCGCAAATCATGCAACCAGCTCAAACTCAGCCAGATGCGATGCACCTACCGACCGACCGGCCGACCGACCTACTGCTGATATCTACTCGAATTTACATATCTCTCTCGATTTCCTCAATCTCGGACTTAAGGGGCTCTCAGATATTTAAAGCTGCAGATTTACTCACGATTTATTAGAGTATTAAAGGTGTTCAATTTGGGTTTGGTATTGAAATGGAAATATATAGTAAATGGATTGAAAACATATATCAAAGTAGGTAGAGGGTGTGAATAGATATACGCTGTATAGACTCAATCTAGTATTTTTTAAAGTATTAGGCAAATTATAATAGACTGAGTTTAACAACAAAATTTAATAATAATTTAGTTCAATTTTATATATCAATCAAAATTCTCTTAAATTTTTTTCCCACTATTTCATCAGCTGTTGACTATGTTGCAACAGCATTTCAACTGAATCGTTTCCTGCGCGAAATTTAAAATGGTTTTAAATTACATTTCCAACGGAGAGGGCGAATTAAATTATATATGTTTTAAATGAATTTAAACGTAGCACTATAGGCCACGTATGCCAAAATTTTATTAAATATCGAAATTCGAAATTTAAAA